ATATATAAATAGAAATATTGATACGAGAAATATTATTTTTAAATTATTTTGAGCGATTTTACTTTACAGATTCAGCAATCTATTTTGTATACTAAAATATTAACATTTGATATTCAAAATTTTAATTTCAATTTAATTATTCCTTTTATCGTGAAAACTTCATAAAAGAATGTAAATAAAAACAGTAAAAACAGACCTATATTCTTTTTTCGTAATCAATTAACATTAAAAGTTTGATTATCGATACGTAAGTATACTAGTTACGTACTTCAAAGAAATTGACGATACATATATGTATACGTAAAATTGCATTTAGTTACAAACTTTAATTGCAATTATTTTACTATTTTACTATTAAGTTATTTTAATTTTGAACATATATATAAATATCAAATGATTCATATTCATGAAATAAATTGAGAAAAATATTTGTCAAATCATATTTTTTCCAAATTTAAAAATTAAATGTATTCTACTGTCGCATTTATAATTTAAAACTTTTTTTTTTTTTCTTTTCTTTCTTTCTTTTTTTGTCGATTGTATATAGTTCAATGATAAATTTTTGATTGATGAACTATATTATATAAAACTTTTTATTATGTATGTCATTTAAATAACGTGATCTATTTTTTATGTATACTACTTGAATTATATATGTATATTCATTTATCAAAACAAAATTTAATACAGTATTACATATTTGAATATTTTTAAAAAAATAAAATATACATAAAAAATCGTAATATCAATTTTGAATTAATCTTCAAAAATGTATACTTTGTTTTTCATATACGTTAAAATAACGATAATTTTAAACCGATGAGATGAAAAACATAAACGTGATTTCAAAGCGATGTACATGTAAATTGAGATTCTTATGTTAATAAATGGATATATATATATGTATTATATNAACAAAAAGATTGATTACGTTGATTTTTATAAAATTCGTAATAATTTTAAAATCGATAAATGAAATTAAAATTTCATGAGTAAAAAAATTGTTACTTTGAAAAAATATAAGAAGTATTTTTATAATAAGAAACTCAATTTTTTCATAGATTTTTGTTTACCGTGAATGGCGAAAGAGCGATGGACACAAAGTCATAAAGATGATAATCCTAGGAACAAATTTTATTG